AAGCAATATAATTATGCCTCATGTATTTCCAGTAAAGTCTAGATTATTTTCTTAAACCATAATCAAGGCAAAAGTTTACTTTAAAATACCTGAAATATTGTTTATGGGAATGATGCCAGTTTGCCAGATTGAGGATGGTTTCCTGTCAGTGGGGAAGAGGGACAGGTTTAATCTTATTGCAGCTATTGAAGAAAAAGGTGGCAATGACATTGGTATAGCTTGCATGGATGCCTAGAAATAGGCAGAACTGGGCTCCAGATCCAGGCAGGCTTGATTCCACACCCCATCTATATTGGTCCATTTCTGTTGACAATAATCTATAAAGTGAATAAGTTATGAAGAAAAGAGTTTTATTTTGGTTCCCGGTCCTGGAAGTGCAAGGTGTAAGGGTCCCATCTGGAGATGATCTTGCTGGCAGAGTCCTGAGGCCGCACAGAGCAACACATGACAAGAGGCAGGGAGTGTGCATATGAGTGTGTGTGTGTGAGTGTGTGTGTGTGTGTGTGTGTGTGTGTGTGTGTGTGTGTGTGTGTTTTGGTCTGTCTTCCTCTTCTTATAAATCCGCCAGGGTTTATTCATGGGCCTGGCGTGATGGAACATACCTGTAATCCCAACAACTCAGGAGACTAAGGCAAAAGAATCTCAAATTCAAAGCTAGCCTCAGCAACCGGAAAGCACGAAGCAACTCAGTGAGACCCTGTCTCTAATTAAAATACAAAACAGGGCTGGGGATGTGGCTCAGTGGTAGAGTGCCCCTGAGTTCAATCCCTGGTACAACCCCCCAAAAAAGATTTAATTGGGAGAGCTCCACTCTAATGACTTTATCTTACCCTAATCACCTCCTAAAAGCCCTGCTTCTAAACACCTTAGTTGAATGAAGTTTCCACCCACTTAATACCTCACATTGGAGATTAAATATATGAAGTCTTTGGGGATACACTCAATCCGTATCTAAACCATAGGGCTATCTTTCCTACACTATGTAGTGTACCTCTTACATGTCTTACAGGAATATCTTAATTACACATGTTGCTTTCTTAATGTGTCTGAATCACTATGGGGAATCTGATTTTATTTTCATTTAGAATCCATTTCGCTTTTGATTTACATAATATAAGCCAATGGAACTTCTCTGATACTGTATTATCAATTTGAATAAATGATATTGTCTTAGAAAAAAACATACATATTTAGATGTATCCTATAATTCCCTGAAGGATTACTCTAAAGGACCCCATGAAAGTCGGATGCTGGGGCACTATGAAATCACATGGCCATTTAAAGCAAATGAAATCAGCATTTTTTTAGAGTTAAATAGAGTGCTTCACTAACTTTGAGACTTTGGAATAACACCAGAAAAATAGAATCACCTACCAGATGATCAACTTCCAATCAATACAGTCATTAAGAAAGATCTCTAAGTATTTTGAGAGCTCCCGTTGTAAAGTCTCAAGAGAAAAATTGCAGATTTCCTTGAAAGACAGTGCTCTTTATTCAGGAAAATTGCCCAGGCATCAGGAAATTTAGTATAATTATAAAGAAAACTGTATAATCTTATAAAAATAACCAATAACCTCATTCTTTTCTTCCTTAGTATTTGTGGTAATAATTTTTCCTCATTCCTAGAAATGATTTTGACTGTGTTCTGATCTCAACATACTTGTATAAAAGCTGGCATCATTTGGCTTCTGAATAACAATGGACATCTTTGGGCACCCTTAGGCCAGGAGTGTTGAGAGGGATCTATTGTTCTTATGAGCAAGGGCAATCATGCACTGATGTGAAGATTTCTTTACTCAGACACAGAAAGTCTCTGCGTAGGCCTCACATACAGGCTACCAATTTAGAGAAGCTATTCAGAAAAGGTGTCAAGGTGGATTCTTACATTTCTAAACTCAGGGACTATAAAGGACAAAATAAACTCCTCCTTGGAGTTTTCCCGTAAGTCAAAGGAGCATGTTGACATATTTTAAAAAGATAACTGTCAACCTGGATGAACTCATTTGATTATAATTGAAATGTGAAACCATTTAGCATTTATGAACATTTTTAATCTTAACTACATTCAGAGAGAAAGAGAAATGCATTGACACATGGATCAGTTAGGGTTGTTCGTGAAGAAAGAGTGGTACAAATGATCTCATTTCAAAGTAAATATGTGATTCAGGTTAAATCTGATGTGTAACCTTAATCACAGTATATTTTTTATTTTTAAATAAAGTCAGATTGATTTTTTAAAATAGCTAACATCCCACAATGTTTCCCCAACACTTTGATTATCTATGTGCCCCTTTTCCAGAATAATATGTGAACTATGAGAAGATTAATGTCAAAATGACCACAACAATTTATTAGACTAAAATTATTCCATAGAAAATCTTTGGGGGCAACTCCTCACATTAACTGAATTCAAATTTAAGTCCTCTATTTTGATAGATGGGCTGGTATTTAAATTCAGGTCTACAAAATAAAATGATGTCCTGCATGGTGGCACATGCCTGAAATTCCAGTGGCTCAGGAGGCTGAGGCAGGAGGATCCTGAGTTCAAAGTTAGCCTCAGCAATGGGGAGGTGCTATGCAACTCAGTGAGACCTATCTCTAAATAAAAAATACAAAATAGGGCTGGGGATGTGGCTCAGTGGTTGAGTGTCCCTGAGTTCAGTCCCTGGTACAATAAATAAATAAATAACACAGAATTCTTGGCTAATATTGGGGCAAGGATCTGGCCTTTGGTCTTCTTCAGATGGGTTTCCTGATAACCCAAGGGGTTCAAGCAGAATTATAAGACCTTAGACAAAAAGTCATGCTGATGCCAAAGTATAACCAATCTAAATATTTAGGACCCCCACTCAATAGTTTTAGTTACCCAGCCTATTATCTTGTGCATATTTTGAACAAAGGTTTCTCTGCTCCATAGGAAAATAATGAGGTGCTTGGTAAATGAAAGTGGCTCACAATTGTAATAATATGTACTCGGGAGGCTGAGGCTGAGGCAGGAGGATCGCAAATCTGAGAGCAGCTGAACAACTCAGTGAGACTTGTCTCAAAATAAAATTTTAAAAGGGCTGGGGTTGTAGTTAAGTGGAAGAGCATTTGCCTAGCATGGGTTGAACCAGCTGTAGAACTAACAACTCTCTAGACCTGAAGTCATATTCATGCCCATGTATAACCAGAACCATCTACTGCCATCAGTATATTGAGAATAAAGGCTACTCTGTCCCGTAAGTAAAACAAATCCATTGTTATATACAAGTTAGGATACATACAATTTGCTTTTTACCTAAAACTTAGGGAAAAAAATCTGAATTTAAGCAAATACAGTCTCAACACAACCTACAGGAAATCACCTTGAGAACCCATTGTGCAAAGTTCTTTGCTTTATGGACCACGAACGATGGTTCAAGGTAGTTTTATAGTCAGTTTTCTTGGCCCTGCTTCAATTCCAATTTAAGAGAGTACTTGAAATACTGTATTCTTCTACTGGCTGCAAACACTCTAGGAATTTGATGCTTTCCAGAATAATCTGTGCTTGTTATGTAAGTACAATCAAAGACACTTTTTCAGAACAGAACAAAAGAGATTAGATTCGCTTTAGTCTAAATTGTCTAAAGAGTTCTCAGTCATGAATTTGCTAATGGCTTTAGCACAAATAAGGGAAATAGAATCATGCATTTTCATTAGGTACCCAAGAAGCCTTTCAGTCTCAGGTTCTTCTGGAGAGTTCTGCCACCCTGGCTCTTCTTTTAACAGCTTGGAAACTGTCTTGCCTGATTAGGAAGTTAGTCATTTCACATTTTGACATCTAAAACAATGAGAAGTTGAAAAACCTCACAAATTACATTTTAAAGTAACAGGATACATCACTTTAAAGAAAAGCGCAAGGATTTGTGGCGCCTGGCTTTGTTCTCCTTAATCCTATTTTACCTTTTGAGCGTCAGATGTTTTGTAAACATCTGCGTCTGAATTCACACAATATGTGCTGATCACTAAATCTCTCCTTTGGTATAAAAACATTATTATTACATGTTAAGAGGGTTTGTGTTCTGGGATTTAGGCTTCCTTCTATTTGGTGTGTATTAGTCAGTGCTATTCCAGCCCCAACACTATGTTCACATTCAGTTTTGAAGCCTGAATCAGGTTTAAATATACAATGTTGCCTATTTCTAAAAGGAGTGATCAAATAGAATTTGGAAAATGTCCTTACAGTCCTCATTTTCTGGAAATTGTTTATCCCTTCTGGTTTTAGAAGCTGTCCCAGCCTTGGTCACAGACATCCCCTGAGGCAACTTTTCTATTTATTTTGTCCATTTAAGGTTAACATATTAGGAATTTTGCTACTGAGAGATTAAAATAAATACATTTGAAGGAACTTTCTCAAAGCTCCTGAGCCGACCCCTGCCTTCCTGCCTGGCTACATTGGCATTCCTTCCACAGGGGCAATAGTAAGGCCTAGCGTTCAAAAACATGCAGCATTCTGGGAAAATGATACAAACAAACAGAACAAGAAATGGGCCTCTTTATTTGTATATGCAGAAAAATAAGAAATAAAATTTACTCTAATGAAGTTTCCCCTCAATTGCTTTTTAAGATAAATTGGCCTGTGAAAATAACCCACTCTTGTAATGATGTCAAAGGTCCCTTTTATAATTCTGGAAGAGGAAAATTAACAAGCAATGATGATCCTTCCAGGTTTAGAGAACAAAAATCATTCATATAAATGTTTGTAAAGGAAATTTAATTTCAAAAATGAACACTCTTTTGATTCATGAAACAGCCATCATTAAACCAAAATATAAGTTTATGGTCCTAGGATCAAGAACAGTTGGATTTTAACTTGAATGGTATCTTAAATCTGACTAACCTTTTTAAAACCTTGGTTTAAGTAAGATTAATGATGATGTGACATTAACTAACAGGTTTACAGGACAACAAAAGTACACTCTGATGGTATCTTATTCCACATGCTAGCGAACAAATTATGCATCATTTTTTTTCTACAGGAAATCTGAAGACTTTAATAACAAAACCTCCAAGGTCAAAATGAATACAGGTATGCTGTCTCCATTAGTTTTAAACTTTTTAGCTTTGATCTCTAAAAATCATCTTGGCCCCAAATCATTAGTTTATCACTCTTCTGATCCTAAATGTGATACTGAGTTTCTGATTAGATATATAGTCCAGATTCATTCCTTTATTTCTTTTCATAGCCATTAAAAGGGGTTCTATTACATACTCTTACTCTCTTTTTCTCTAATCATCTTTTAAAATTAACTCCCCAAAATGCTAGGTATTGTATGCCCACATTTGAAATCTCTCACTTAAGATGGACTAAATTCAAAGACAGGTTGCTCTGGTGAAAAATATTTAAACTTTCCCATTCTATAAATTCTATGTTGACAACGTTGGCAGATAGAATGTCAAAGCATCATGCATAGAAAGTCACTTTAATTAATTCATAATCACAACCCACATATAGACATAAGCATTATATTTTTAGATTGTCTCCAAACTTTATGGTGTATATTTTAATCATAAAAGTGTTTGTGATACATGGGATGTACATATGAAATATAATTTTTTCTGTCTTTTAGATATTTTGGTTTATAATTTCATCTTCTCCCCAACCCAAGTCTTATATACCAGTATTAAGTAATGCAGGAAATGACTTTCTCATTGAAATTTTGTTACTTGTGTTTAAACCATGTCATTTCCTTTTGTCCAGCAAGTGCTGCTAGGAAGTTATTTTAGTCAGTCAGTCACTTTATGGCAGAGAAAAAAAATGGCTTGAAATATTCTTTCACATCAAGCTCTCTGACATTTTGCTTGTATCTTAATATCAAAGTGCCTAGAGGAAGAATTAATAACCCACTAGTGAGAACGAATGTCTAATCCCCAGATCAACTGTAGGGACATATACTATGTCCATCTTTCCCTGGAAGCCCCTTAACATAAACCTGCTCTAACTGGCCTAGATTATGCTGTGTCCTGAGGTTGCAACCAGCTTGTAGACACGTGTAGAGCAACAGGCAAGATGAGGGTATTGGAGATGCTCAAAATGGACAAGCATGGCTTAGATGTCAAGAGAAATGATGCTCTTCCAAACTAAACAAGTAAAGGCATTTCAAGAATTGGAGGTATTAAAATTGGTCGTGGAAAATGAAATAAGAAATATTATTAGGCAAAGGACAGCAAAGAAATCAAATAGAACATAGAGTCCTCAGCTGGTCTAGGATAAACTCTGTTGCCAAACTCAATCAGCACATTTCCATTTGAGGGAGTGGTATGTGCTGATTGATCTGAGGCATCTCTTTGGAGGCTTAAGTTGAACATAACTTCCCAATATCCTTCATTTTGTTGGGTGCTGATTTTCCTATTTATTATAGCGCTATTGTGATATATATGTATATGTGATTAAAGTAAATATACTTTATTCATGTACAATATATTCTGCATAATTGATCTTCTATTCATATAATTCAATCCCTAATGACAAAGGTAGGTGCAAAGAAATTTTTAAATCTGTTTAAGTCTCATACTAGAACGAAGTTACTACTGAACCGCCTAAATATAACCACAACCATCTAAAACATTCTCTCATTTATTAGATAGAGTAAACCTGATTCTGGATGAATGTTAAATTGCATAGGATTGTTTTGCTTACATGGGTGAATTTACTTAAGCATATATGCATGTGAAATATGATTTTCAGACTTAGACATAAAAATTGATTAGAAGTTACTTAAACCCTTTGTTTTAAACTCCAAAGAAATGTTATAATGTGGCTATAGAAACATCACTTTAAAATGTATATAAAGAGGCTAAATAGATATCATTTTAGAAAATTGTAAATGTTGTTGCTGTATTTACAAAATAAAGTAGGAATTAGTTTCTAAATAACTAGTAAGTAAAACTGGCCTGTGTTATCTATGTAGCAATCATTGAAGAGATATATCACAACTTAAATATCTACATATTAGTCACTATAATTTAAAAATTACTTTAAATCTAATCTTTGCTTTCAATTAAATACATAATGAACTGGCCAAGGAGGTTGTGATTCATTTTTTTTTCATTCTACATTATCTAAACAATGGAGGAAAATATACAAAGCATGCTATATTTTCACTCAGAATTTGTAACCCATTATTTTCGTAGGCATAGAAATTAGTTATTGAAGAAAAGAGAGAAAAAGACACCAAATAATTCATTGAACATGGTTTACCCATGTGAGTATTCTCTAGCAGTGGAAACACCTTGTCCAGAGGTCTTGCATCTTGGTAGAATCGTGACTCAGAGGCTGCAGATCATGAATAGTTGTGCAGAAGAGACCAGCATTAGGATTCCTTCAGATGAACTGATGTATAAAAGATAACTTCCTCATTTTGCGTCCTTAAAAATATTCTCAAGAAATACCAGAAAGTCTCAATACATAAGTACACTATAATAGATTTCTCTGTTTTCTAAATTTCACATAACCTTGACTTTTTAAAAATAAGCTCTTTATTAAATGGTAACAAAGACAGATTCTGCATTTACTTGATCAAAGTTTAGAGCTTCCTGACACACATAAATTGTTTAGCCCAAAGATTTCCAAACTTCCTTGGCTCAGAGTGACAATGTCTCGGTAATTATTTTCATCAAGCTTTGAGGCCAAATGAAATATCTAACAATTCTATTTATTAGAAGATGCAAACAATTCAATCACTTAATAATACTTAATAAGTTTTTATGTGCTAACAACTTAAAAGCCATTTGACAAAATAGTCATGCAAACTAAAAAGAAAATATTAATTTTATTTCATTCTTTATAACCACAATTACTTAGTAATGATAGGTTAATGGCTGTGGTGCATTGAAAAACTTCTCAGACTGTAAGGTTAGATTGTACAGGGCCAGTCTCACTTTTACAGGGCACTTGGTTTTCAACATGACAACCACCCTCAATTCAGTTTTTCAAAGACGCATGTCACCCAAAGGCATAGATGTTACAACCTAGGAGGTAGAAACTTTGCTCTTCTTCAAGTTATCAGTTCACATAGCATCCATCAGATGTTACTATATTTTCCTCAAAAATGGAGACAGCCGCCAGCGTCCCTGTGAATGTCCTGAGACAGCACAGTGTCTGTCAGGCCACAGCGAAAACACCAAGTTTAACCAATGGTCCTGGATCTTCTCGTTCTGGAATTTTCTGTTTTTATCTCTGCTTATTTTCAGATATATAGAATCAAAGAACCACAAAGTAAAATGATTGAGAGTGCTCTCAGTTTTCAGTTCCAACACCCTTGACTACTCAACCCGCCCTAGCTGCTAGATACCCTGTGTCCTAGGACATCAGTTCCACGTTAGCAGACAGCTTGTCTCCTGGCTATTTTCAGTTTGTCATGTTTATTAAAATCCTGTGGGTGCTTCTCTTGGAGCTACCTTCAGTTTTCATCATTTGTGTTTTTCTCTTTGGGTTCTTAATTATAGCCTTTGATTCATTGGGCTTATTTTCACCTAATGTTGTTTCAAGTTAGGTTTCTGGTTTATTTATTTTCTATATTAAGAAATTGTGACTTTAAACATATATTGTTAAGTTATATGAGAATAATTCCACCAACTTTGAATTCTGCTGACCTTATTCTTTGCGAGTATTATCAATAACTGATTCAAATCTTACTTCCAAGTGTCATTACTAAGCACAGTTCTCTCGTGTCTAATGCACCAAATGGATATGTTTCTCTACGAAATAAAGAAAAAAAATATATAGGGATAGCATATCACAAATATGATGATTGTATTATCTTGTTGATGGTTGCGTTATTTGTTCTTTTTGTCTTAGTTTTCAAAAAGACAAAACGTTGTTCTGACTTAATGATCAAAATGAGGAGAGTAAGGGATGCTATTACTGCACACATTATGATACAAAGGAATGTGGGAATGGAATTCATATCTGGTCATAAATAGAACATTAACCTTTCAATTTTAGGAGACTTGTCTTCCAGATTTAGAAGCCTAAATTCTCATAGCACATAAAACGTCTGATGCATTTGCACTTATTTTATTTCACATCACAATGTGCTTAAGTATAAATATAGATCATTGTTCAAAAGTGTAAAAGAAACAAATTAGTTTTAAAAATATGCTCATTTTAATACTGTATGGAGCAATGTTTTTCCTGATTTTAGTTGGGCTAATCATTTCCATAACTCTGGGAAGTCATGGAGTTTCCCATAATGCTGTTTCTTTATAAATCCTATATTATCAAGTATATCAGGCCTATGTCACCGAATTAGTTTTATTTCAAGCTATCTTCAGGAATCATAAAAGCTACAAGACAGTAAAACCTAAATGATTAATTCAAAAGTATATTATAACTATAGAGCTTAACTGTGGACAGTAGATAATCCATAACTCTAAAAGCTAGCTACACGGCTTATAGAGCTATGCATTGAATTTAAATAGTATAAACACAGTTGAGCTCTATGCCTATATTTTCATTAACAGAAAAACATTGAATGTTAAATATCAAACATTTTATTTTTTTCCTAAAGCATTGGCATCTATTTCTGAGACAGACCCCTGGGGGGTTTTGTTTGTTTGTTTTGTCCGTTTTAGGGAATGAGTGTGAAATTTGCAGATGTGCTCCATGGTTACTAATTCTGACTGTTCATCTCCCTCACGAGTGTCTGGCACATTTCACTTAAAACGCATGATTTTGCATGTGCTTCCTCTGTTGCCTTGGCTTCTGCTATATCATTTTTTTGCTTCCAGATAGCGGTGGGTGTGCTCGCAAACGTGCTGCCATGTCTGTTACGTTAACATCTGTGAAGAGAGTTCAAAGTTCTCCAAACCTATTGGCCGCAGGTATAATACCACTAACTCACAGAAAGAATGTCACACTTGAATGGCTGTACCTGACCTCTCTTTCTTTCCAGAATGATCTTATTTGGATGAGTACAGTGGCTGTAAATACCTTTCAAATGGCCCCGAGTTCTTATTTTTCTTATCCCAAGAATAGATTTTATCCCTTCTAGCTGTTTATGTTCTAAAAATAAAAGGTCAAAAGAAACTGATATCTTGTAGAACACATTTAAAAATTTAATTAAAAACAACAGACACTTGCCAAAAACATGTTGAATAAGTGTAAACGTTAATAACTGTTCAAGTTTTTGTTATCTCATAAAATAAAGTAACATCATATCTCATTATGATATGTTTCTTTGGTGATACAGGGGTCAGGAAGAAATTCTGGAAAGCCAATCTTCATTAATTTGCTTCTTCACCAAAGATTATAAGCAGAATGATAGAATAATAGTTTTTAGAGAAAGGCCTTACCCTTTCATTAATCAGCAAAGACCCATCTAATACGTATTTTTAAATATATGAAAATCTTGACCAGTTAAGATTAATGTGTATCTACAGATAAAAATACACCCTAGAAAGTTATTGAGGGCATTCACTCAGGTAGTCTCTTTATAACAATGACTTTCCTAAGCCCTCAGGCACAGTCTCCCTCAGGAGGGGGCTGCAGTTATAAAAGATCAGTGAGCCCAGAAAAAAACCCTATTCCTAGACTCCAAAACATAGCCAAGCCTTCTGATGGCTGGTTGGTTGGTTTCATTGTTGGTTTGTTAGTTGCAGTTTCTGGTTTTGGAGCAAAATTGGGAAAGGGGTAAAAAGTTCTTAAATAAATTTAATTCTTACTATGCATATCACAATCTTTTACTCACATACATTTAGAAGTTGATTAAATACTACAGGTGCCCTTAGCTTTAAAGCCACCAGGTCCTAAACTACCCAGTTTTGTTGAAGAAAAAACAAACTTTCATATGGAGAATTCCACGTCCATTTACCACCTCCAATTCACAAATGGATTTCAATGTCCAAATTCGAATATCAGGCCAGGAAGTTTCATAATATGTTAAGATTAAAAGACTTGAGGTTGTATTGCAATGTATGTTGTATGACCTCATTTTTGGTTTCAAAAATCTCTCTAGATACATTCGTACATATTTTATTCATGTGTTTATAAACATGACAAGGTGTTACAAAACCGATAGGCATTTACATTAGATAGGTCAAGAAAATAAGAATGAAAGGAGGTAGGGAAATAAATAAAATACAAGCCAGAGCCATTATGTAATTGGAATGCCTGTACCATGACTATCATTTATCAAGTTTTATAATCTCAGGTGTGGCCCACTGATGTACTCCTGAGGCATGATACACTGTTCCATCAATGCCAATTTACTGTTATTTATAAAAGTGACCATCAAAAGACAGTATTAGATTGAATAGAGATTGCTATTTTGGAGTGTCAAAAGTTAAACATGAACAATTTCCTATCAGTCAACTTGTTAGAAAAAGATTCAATGCTTCACAATCCAATTAGGAGAAAAATTTTAACACTTCAGGAATATGAAATAATCTTCAATGATAAGACTATGTACTGACTCTGAGCTATTTTATATTTTATCTCACTATAAGTAAGATTTCTAGAGAATAAAGTCCCCTGAATTTTGGATGCAATTTTTAAAACAGACACATACGGTAATCTTAACTGGTTTAAGGAAGTTTTAAATACATTTTAAAGAAAGAAATCAGCATCTGTTGTGTCCAATCACATTTTAAGGGAGCTTTCATAAGAATATATTTGACCGTCTTTATGTGAATCAAAAGGGAATTAATAAGTATTCATTGCATTTAATATTCTTGAAACTCAACAACCTTTCCATAAACAAACACAAGATTCCACCCCTCCCCCAAGCCCCTTCAGATCAGAAGTTCCGCAGGTGTCATCAACTCTTCATCCCCTACATCAGTGTGTCTCCTCCTCCTCTCATCAGAAGTGAAGACCCAGAGGATAATGCACCATCTCTCACACCGATGTTTTAAACCTAGGCTAGATGCAAAATGATGATTAAAGAGAAACATCCAAAGTACATTTCACTTAATCAAAAACCTTTGGCAGTCTGAGGTGACATTGGTAAAGGATGCCACGCGTGACAGGACCACTCTGCCAAGAGATAGTCTTGCCAATATCACTGGTGTGTTTTATGCCCTTAAAAAAAAATTTGTCTGTACCTCAAGTTTTCTTCCTTAAAAAAAAATAGAATAGAATAATTGTCACTTTCCTGCCTCTCTGAGAACATCATTTCCCAAATCCACAAGGCCTTGTCAGAATTAAATGAGGATAACTAAAGAAAATAAATGCAAAGACTTATTATAGTACTTAGAGCCACACAACTAATTGACATGAATTTAAGGTCGACTTTAATTCGTACAAAGCACTAGAGTCCTCTAAAGAAATGCATCATAAGGATTAAAGTCCTCATAACTTTCCAGAAAAATATAGGTGATAGAGTCAATATAGTACATCAGTTAAAAGGAATTTTAATAAAACCTGAACATAAAGATTGTGATGTGACAGATAGGCACAACCAACACAGTCACATGAAAACTCTGATGTTAGAATCCTAAAGTTGAGAAGGTCCTTTGAGGGCCAATCCCTGATAACAGACCAGGAATATATTAAAGAATATCTCTGACAGGTATTCGGCCACTAAGGCCTGGACACAGAACAAGCCCATTGTGCCAGTGAGGAGCTTTGACAAGTCTCAACCCTCAAAGACCCTGTTTATTTTCAGATGCAAAATCTCATTTTGTCATTCTTAGCATTTCAGGCAAACAATGCTGTCTGCTAAAACACGCTAGAAACTCAGGGTTCTGATTGTTAGAATCTGAATTCTGATTCTTCACAAGTGAATGATCATCAGTGATGTTCAAGATCTGGGGCAAAACTATTCACCCTGTGTATCTGCCATGCCATTTACCTGCTCAACTTTCTTAGTTTTTAGAATCCATATTCTCTTTACTCTTGACACAGACCTGGGAAACTTTCTGTTACCTGCTCCAAAATACACAGGTCCTCCCTTTCCCAAGTTTCTCTGGCAGTGATACTATAAAAGTTGAGCTATAGTGAATGGTGTCCATGTGGGAAGGAACTTCTCTTTTAGGACTTCTGTAGTCTACAATAAAGTCACAAATCGGAGCTGGGGATTTTTAATATCTAGAATTGGGCTTACTTTAAAGAAACTGAAATGTTGTACATGTCAGTATCCTTAAAAACCACCCACTTAAAAGTAGACTTAAATCGTCAACATAAACTTAGATAAAAATATTGCTTCATCCTGAAATTTTAATCCATGGCTAGTTTTCTCTTTTCTCCTTTCTCTTAATTCTACACAGTTTTGTTCCCTCTTAGGCAAGGCCTTTCCGCAGAGAGCACCATTATTAATACCTCATGTTTCTTTAGCACACCCTGGTCCATAGTTGGGCCTAGAAAGACTGACCTCTGATTTTCCCATGTATGGTTTCTTAGGGTCCTGTAATCTCCAATGTGATCTGCAATGTGAAGAAACAGGGTTTACCCCCTACAAACTGTCAATGATAGGATACATTTACCTCACATAAAAACATCACACCCTTCAGACCAGCTTAGTACGCCCTCCCGTCTAACCACAGGCACCTCCACATATCTGGCTCCTATGACATCACTCCTCAGCACATACTACATACCCTCTTTTTTCATCTTATCAAACCAAGAGAAAAATAAACTCCCTATTCTCAAGCAAATAATTATAATATAAATAACGATCATGATTGATTCGTTGTTTTTTCCTTAAGTCCCCAAATTTGTTCTTTGTCCACAGTGTGTGACACCCTAGTCATTACTAAATCTCTCTTCCTAAATGTCCCAAATAAAATTCCAGAGATTGCTCTGTATTACTAGACTATGTTTGTTTTCTTTATAGAGTCCTCGACATCATTTAACTGAATTAAATGACGAATTTCAATCTTCACCTTCCATCAAATTCTGGAAATAGAATCTAGTACATTTCATTCATCAATGTTTAAAGTTATTTTTACTGTTTGGTATTCATTTTATGACTCCAGTTTTTCATTTATTAGAGCGAAAATCCCATACTATTTTTCAGTTTTATAAAGAATGGGAATTTGTTAGTCTTCTCTAACTCACCCAGGCTGGAGTCATTCTAAGTTACTCTGTGCTGATTCATATTTATTTTTATTCCTTTGATTTGGAAAAAAAATCTGTCTGAAAGGCCTTGCCTAAAGGAGAGAATGAGAATATATAAAATTAAATAGGGTTTCATAACTATTTATGCTTCTACCGTCCCAAATTTAGTGTTCAGAGTTCAAAATAATTATACCCTATACATGAGAAGAAAAAAAAGTCACTGAAATAATAGTAATTTAATAATGGTCCCAGGTAACAAGTAGAAGGAATTGGACAGTTAAATGCCTGTAGGACTCTTTCCAAGTGCAAGGTTTTATATATCTAAGTGCAATTAACCATGTTGTATAATAGAACCACACAGACAAATTGATAACTTTAAATGTGCACATTGGGCATATTTGATTACCCCAAATAGACATACAGAAGATTCTTGAATGCATAATTCCAATAAAATCAATAATAAATATGGGATTGAGTCAATTTCCAACTGCATTACCAAGAGTAATTTAAGCTACTGAAATTTATTTTCCAAGATTCATGAGTTAAAGGAAAATGGAATGCATTTTAACAGCTCTTTCATATTTTAAATTTAAATGATTTTTAAATAACAATAGGAAGAAAATTCAAAAGTAACAGAATGTTTGAAAGTATCTCATGATCTGATAGAAACAATGCAAACTATTAAAAAAATTCATCTCTAGCACAGAAGTTAAATAAAGTCAGTAACAACAGGGCTTTTGCCAGTTATGGGTCTGCTCATTTGATTTAATGCTATGAAAAACATCCATTATTTACGAACCAGATCCTTTTAGATCCTTTAATTCAATATTCAGAAATTCATGTAAGAAATTCATGGGTAACAATAATCTTAAAATTATATGGCTGCAGCATTATTGAGGAGAAAAATTAGTGTTTGATATATGTGTTAATTATATATTATGGTTATTTAGTAAATGACATTTCCATTGAAGTTAAAATTAATGCACAAACCTCTCATTATATTTAAAGTACCCAGAGTTTTAGAACTGAGATAATGTCTGCAAAAATTATGCACATAGTTCTTCACCAACTATTTTCACTGGATTGTTCAATTATTGTACCCTTGCATTAATTTCAATATTTTTTTTCTTTCAGGGCGTGATTCTCATTCACCAGACTCAGGTACAGAAAAGATATTCTGAAAACTATTACATTTATTATGAGGATTTTTTTATACATATCCATAGCCACATTGTTGATCTCATGTTAAACTTAAATTTCATACATTGCTACGCATTTTAAATAAAAATTCTAGTAAGAATATTTCCATTTTAGAAATAAAAATAAATTTTCTGAAAAAAAATGTTTATGTGAACCCAGATATTTTTGTATCCAATTTGTTTTCCCTTAATAAAAGCATGGAGATCTTACAATGATCGAAATCAAGAGACACTGAACGGAGATGCTACATATTCCTCTCTTGCAGCAAAAGGTTTTAGAAGTGTTCGACCAAACCTGCAAGAAAAGAAATCACCAACTCAGGTAATCCTGCACACTCTTCTTTACTGTGTTACTTTAAAGCATGGTTATTAAAGCTTTAGAATCTCTTTCTTAGCAACCTCTTTCTTAGTCTTTTCTTTTTAATATACATTTGATTTTGAATTTGCTTTGCTTGCCAGACTTCTATTTACAAGGAGAACAAATTTTATGTTCAAAACAAGTGTTTCATATTTTTTATGGGCTTTTTGTTTTGTTTTGGTTTTTTTTCTGATTAAGCTCATAAAAGTAAGCCATCTTCTAACATAATGTTTAGGATACATTCTAATTCTTAAGAAGCTGGCAGCTGATGTTTTGGATTTCAAAATCATAAGGTTAACAATACATTGTATGTTCAATAAATACGAGTTATGCAACTATTCACTCTGAAAACTAAAGGGACTCTGTGTTGAAGATTTGAGTAAAATTGTGCCACAAGCATGAAAAATATTGTAAAACTATGTGACTCATTAACCATAGACCTTGAGGTCTAAAAATATGCCAAGAGAACATATGTTCATTTTTAACATAATTTCCCAGAATGTGGATGGAGGCAACTATATAATATTATTTTTTTAAATCAGGGATTAAAACCAGGGGCACTTAACCAATGAGATACATTCTCCAGCCTGTTTTATATTTTTCTTTTGAAATAGGATCTTGCTAAGTTGCTTAGAGCCTCACTAAGTTGCTGAGGTTGCCTTTGAACTTGTGATCCTCCTGCCTCAGCCTCCCAAACCACTAGATTATAGATGTGCACCCTTGCTCCTGGCTAAAATAGGAATTTTTATAGGAATGAAAATGATAATTTAATCTAGCCAAGAGAACATAAAGCATAGTGAGAAAAGAGAGATTGTTCTACCTTTAAGGGCAGGTTTCTTTCATGACTAACTTTGACTTTCTCTGTTTTTCCTTCAATGTTATTTCTTTTTCCGGATGCTTTTGGCCATCTAGGCACCCCTTCCACCAGCCAGAAAAGAGAGCTCTTGTAGCTTCTTGATAACCAATCACAGAAAGCCTGACATTTTAGACTCATTGATAACTAACCCACAAACCCCTTCCTGTACAGAATACTTTACTAACAAAGAGCCTCTTCACACAACTATGCATTCTAGTGACAATTCTAGCCAGACAATCATATATTCTGAAGAATCCAACACAACTATGTCATATACACAAAAAATCACTAATCCTCTCCCAACAGCTCCCAGAATAGGTTCTGCTCCCTTCGCTGACAGTACCCCATTGCTACAAGAGGACTACACACAAGATTCTCATACTCGGAGAATTTCTACCATGAAACTAACTCAGAACCAGGATCTAGGAAGTAGCAGCCCCATGAGTTCTCCACAGTTCTCCAAACCTATTGAAGTACCATTATTTCTCAAAAGGCCTTCCTCACCACCCCCTAACCCAGAGCCCGAGATACACACAGCATCTCTTTCCATTCAAATAGCTCCCCTTTCAGGAAAAGATCCTGAAAGCCACAAACAGCATCCTGAGCTTCCTCCAGAGACTACAAAGATACCTCCTCAGCAAGAGCAACAAATGTCTGCAGTTGCTGCGGCCTCTCAGTCCTCAGACTGCCGGGTGGTACATTACACTTTCCAGTCTCTTCTTCATGTGCATAATGGAGACTCTAACTCCTTTGATTTGGGCTTCTTACATAAACTAATGCTTTGTTTGTTTCCAAGTAGGAAGGAAAAGGAGAAAGAAACCATCTTACAGTTAGAATTTAAAGGTTGACTAAATCTACCAGTAAATTTCCAGGTATATTTTAATTAAACACACACACACACACACACACACACACACACACACACATACACACACACTTTTATCCAGAAATCAGTTCTAGAAATTTCTTCTTCCTAGATATTTTTTAGAAATCACTGAAGGGTCAGTTCTTTAAGACACTGCAAACCACTTCAATACTTAAAGTACTTTCAGATTTCAAAGAGATTTTTATCCGACCAGATGTTTGGTTAGCTAATTTTATTTGAGTGTACACACTTTCTTAAGATAATTGTCAATAATTCACTCTAGCAAGAAATGTTCATCACAATATCAAGCAGTGTTTACTCCTTTGTAGCTCAATGTTCATTTTCACTGAAACTAGATTAGTTTATCATGTCAGAAAGGATAGTGAACACATCAACTTTTACTACCCAGATTTTTAGGAAGCAAAGATTTTCATATACGTAAAATTCTGTTGTAGCATCATTGTGCTGACATTTATTGTTTGTTTAGAAGAGAAACGCACTCCATTATTTTTGGATTTTCCATGAAATAATGTAGTGTTCAGAGCAGGAACTTGAAGAACAAACTACAGAATTTAATCCAGGCTCTACCACTGACTATCATGAAGAATCCACTACTAAATTTTCTGGAGTCTAAACAAAGAAGTCAGAATATTAACTCATAGGTCGTGGGAAGACTGGGAAGCTATTAGAGGTAATCTACTCAGGACAGAGCGAACACTCAATAAACAATAACCACTAATGAAAAACATAATACTAGCAGCAATAGCAGTCATGAAAGTATTGAAAACAATAGGACCTAAGTAAATGGCTTGTATAATACTATTTACTGCCACTGAGTTGTTAAATATCATCCACAACACAACTTTGAAGAGAGTCTTCAATAGATATCTGACAACAAGATCCTCCTATCCATCCATAATGTAGAAAACTTAAACAAAGATGATTAAAATATAAGATGTATTAAAATATCCCCTTCATTAGCTAATCATAATATACAAAACTCATTCAGGAGAGCAAACTTTTTGGATTAACATTAATATCTTTGGAGAGCCCACAGGTAATAAGATAATATCAATAATAAAAGCAGCTAATAAATAATAAGGTTTTCCCATATGCAGGCATTGCCCTATTGATTTATTTCCATCATCAATATGTATTGATTATGTATGTATTATTACAATTATTTTATAGATAAGGCAACTGAGGCACCAAAGTGAGTTGCTTCCCCAGTCAGAATATAAACCCAATGGCCGCAGAGCTTGTCCTCAGAAGAACTATGATACCTCTCATTGTGAAATAGTTTCTCACTAGTGAAAAGAGACATGGGGCTATGACATAAGGAGAAATAAGGCAGGTGTCTTGATGGGGCCCAAGAGCTCAGGATGGTCTGAGGAAGCAAAATCAATCTGAGCCTGTACATCCAGAACTATGCTAGCATCAGGGAGCTGACATGGGTCTCAGGATGTGTCCCTACAGGAAGCAGGGGTCGGCGAAGTCACAGGGACATTTAGAACAATTGGACTCATCTAATACAATTTGGCTCCTCAAAACGGTTTTATTATGTTTGAAAACCTAAGTCTGATCATTTCCATGGTTTTGTCACTATCCAGGCTGACTGAGGATAGTGGGTCTCCACTATCTAATTAATTATCTATCTAATTAATCAACTTTTATTAGCCAGATTTTTAGGAAGTAAAGATTTCCATATATGTAAAATTCTGTCATAGCATCATTGTATAATTGATAATTACACAATCCCCAGAGGATTAGCATGATCCCAAAGTTAAGATGCAAGATTCTGCTACTTTTATTCATTCAACAAATATTTATTGATACTTGCTATGTATCAAGGTTCTAGTGACAGAGCTGGAGTTGAAGCCGTGTGTGTGTGGGGGAGGCAAATGTTAATAAAAACTTAAGTAATTTATCTACATTAGAAAGACATTACTCTGGGGAAATGTGATTAAGCAATGCTGAGCAGAGAGATGGGGTGCACAGGTTAGTCAAATAGATATCATTGAAAGGACAGAGCAGCATTGAAGTGGGGACAAATATTCTAGGCAGAGGGAACATCCCAGTGCAAAGATTCTAAGGCTGAAGCATGCTGCTGCCATTCAAGGTCCAAGGTCGGACCACAAGGAAGCCAGAGAGGAAGTGAGTAATAGGAGGTGGAGTCACAGAAAACAAAGACCAACTGACCAAAGTCCTTGGAAGCCATTGCAAAGATTTTGACTCTTATCCTCAGTAAAAATGGGAGTCGCTGAAGGATTTTGAGGCTGCTACTATAATTATTTGGCCTACATCCTAACCAAGTCATTCTAGCAGGGACATTTAGAACAACTGAGAACAAACCTATCTATCCTAGGGCCAGAAAGTGAGCAGGCAAACCCATTAGGAAAATATAATAAATTCAGTGAGAAACAATGGTGACTGAAAGCCAGTGGGAAGCAGTAGGGGTGGTGAGAAATTCAACTATGTGGCTATATTTCAGAAGTACAGTACAAGGGACTTCCTGGCAGATTGCTCATTGGGGCGTGAGAGGAAGAGTCAAGGTTGACATCAGCTGAGAGGGTGGTGTTGCCATCAACAGAGACCAAACAACCATGGGCAGAGCAGTCAGGCGAAACAGATACTATTTGGGACATGATTTTTTCTTTCTTTCTTTTTTTTTTTTTTTGGTACTAGAGATTGAACCCAGGGTCCTGAGTCACATCCCCAACCCTTTTGTGTTGTTGTTGTTGTTGTTGTTGTTATTGTTATTGTTGTTGCTATTGAGACAGGGTGTCACTAAATTGCTTAGGGTCTCACTAAGTTGCTGAGGCTGGCCCCAAACTTGCAATCCTCCTGCCTCACCCTCCAGTGTCACGGGATTCCAGGTGTGCACCACCACATCCAACTGGGACATGATAACTTTGAGGTGTCTCTAAGACACCCACAGGGAGAGGTGAAGTGTCCAGTTGGATACAAGAGTCTGGAATTCAGGAAATAAGTTCACAGTTAAAGCCATCAGCTTACAGACGTTTCTCGTAGCCAGTGAGACTTGAGTGAGGTCAACAGGGAACGAGTATGGAGAAAAGAAGATACCCAAGAATTGAGCCTAAGCAAATCCCAACATTAATAGGAAAAACCAGCCCAGGAGACTGAAAGCCATATTCTCAGATGGAGGAAATCCAGAGATCTGGGGCAGGTGAATAGACAAGAGGGGAAATCACACAGAGAAGGAATGGTTCACTGCTCAAGTGC